TATCACGCTTTCATGCGTGCTCGAATATTTTTTAGTATATTAGTTGGAAATTCTTGATAAAAATACTGTTAAACTTTATTTTTTTTATTTTATTTATTTTTTTTATTTTTTTTTTTACTAGGAATGTCTTTGAAAGTACGTATAATCTCGTATGTGAACAAATTCTATTATTATTAAATAATATTCGTTAAATAATTTCGTTGGTAGAGAATTCTTGAAGGGAAAGCTATTAGAGAGAATGACGTAATTGTAATGAAATTTCGAAACAAATATAAATTAGACTTTCAATAAAATGGGACAATCATTAGTGAAAATTATTGATTATACACGATGTACGTTATGCACATTTTTAACAAAAGATCTTTACAAAAGCCAAAATCCTTTAAATTAATCATGAAGCACGATTTACCAAATTTTTATGAATCTTTTTACTACTATCGATTTTATTATCGAATGCGTTTATAAAATAAATTACTTGCGAGTTTATACATGCAACGTTGCAAGATTCATGGGACGATCAAAGATATCATCGATGCAGTTTGCTCGCTCATCCTCTATTCTAATAAAATGAAATTGAACTTCTTCGAGTTTTTATCTGTTATCTATAAAACTTACATTATAAATATAAATATTTATTGTGCAATTCAATTTGCTTTTATATATTAATAATTAAATGAAAATACATAAACCATTAAATAATATTATGTTTATAATAATGCTATAAATGCAGTGGAAATTACATTATTGAAAAAATACTTTAAAAAGTAAGGAACAAGTGATATGAGCTTGCGAAATATTTAAAGAAAACCAATTTCCGTCTATTTATAATAATATTTTATATTAAAAGAAACAACGCAATCTAAAATATCGAAGAATTCATACTATTTCATAAAATCTTACAAAGTCAAAGTAGGTATATGCAACTATAGGAATTACTTATTGAGATCAAACTGTAATAAAATATCCATATATTGTATCTTAATATAATTAAATATAATCAATTAAATACAAACATTAGAATATTGAATTAAATTTAAAATAAACATGATATTATTTGATATAAGAATTTGCATTTATTTACATAATAGAAAACTACGATATAGAAACATATACATACATATGTGTATATTTTTTTTGTCCTCGAGAAGTAATTAATTTTTTAATTGATAATATCGATAGCTAATATTAAACATAATTTCATAATTAAAGTTTTTATATTTTTCTTTACTCGTTTTAAATTATTTTTCTACAATATTCTTAAACAGACATTTGAAATTACGTATAATCATGGATTTTCAATCGTTTCACAATTATGCATGATTTCTAGAAATGTAGAAGAAAGTTCAAGTATTAATATTTAAAATTAGAAATCACTTCAAATTATTATATTTATTGGTTCAAACATATTCTGAACTTTATTATAATAAATTTCTTTTTATTACTTTATATTAATAGAAATATTAATTGAAGTTGAAAATTAATTCACTATTTAGTAAATTAAAGTAGAATACATAAATTTGAAGAAATTGTTATCATAATAATAAACACATTATATTGTAAAATGTCTATTAACAAATATTTATTTAAAGCTATTTATTTTAAGTTATTTAAAGCTTTTATTATTTTATGCTTGTGCTTGTTTTAGTACAATATTAAAGCACTACCTTATCAATTATTGAAAAATTTGTTTATGTGTAAAAGCCATTCTTTTTTACTGTACATCTTTTTACGTATTTAAAGCCTTCTGAACTAATCCATCTTTATTAAAAAATATTAAAAATACCTTTTTTTCAAGCGTACCGATCATTTATTTGTTTCATTTTACAATTCTAGTTTTTTTATTATACTTATATTAAATAATCATTTTTTGCAAAATTTCTTCTAAAATCCTTTAAACAAAGCATTTGCACAAGGACATTTTTTTCTGTTATAAAATCCTTACTTTTTTCACACAGACACTCATTCTTAAAACTCACAATTTTAATAATTATAAATTTTCCAATTTCATCTTTCGTGTCTCTCTTCAATGCGTCATTTTTAATTTTTTTTTTATTAAATTTATGAATATAAATACTTGCATTCTTATAAAAGTGATTAAAAATGCTTTTATTACACAAAATATATTAGATTAAAATATGGAATATCTAGGTTAATTAAAGGAACATTAGATTAATTATAATTTTATAAAAATTAAATTTATAAGAAATAATAATATTTTATAGAAAAAAAGATCGATTATATACTTAAAATTTGGAATTCTTAATTTAGGTGAGAAATTTGAAAATATATCTCTCTCATAATCGATGTACAATGAAAGAGACACGCGTTAATTATTTAAAATATTTAAAATATTGTTTGTAATAACACGTATATACATATATATATATATATATATATATATATATATATATATAAGGAAAAAACGAATCATTGACAAGAAATATTTTATAAACAATGATTCGTTTTTTTGTTCGAATTAATTTCTTTATAATACATGAAATTTCCCAAATTAAACTATAAAAATATTGAATTAAGTAGTACAAGAATTTTTTTTGTAATTTTTAAGTAATTTTTGTTTTGTTTTATTTAAATAGTTACGCTTAGCTATCTTGATGATATTAGATGAATTACAGAAGTTGAAAATCAGGTCAACAAATTTTAAATTGAATATAATTTTACAAATTTTCGAAAAATTGTTGAAAGAATAAAGAAATTCTTTATGAATTACAGAAATAAAGAAATAAAGAATAGAGAATAAAGAAAAAAATTCCATTTCTTACATTACATCAAACACGATGCTTAGATAACAATGAAAGTTTTTTTTCTGCATATATATTCGTACTTTAATAAAATAATAGTAAAAAGTAAATTCCGAATTAAAGTATATACTCTATTATATCATTGTGCATGTGTGCATGCTGATATAAGTTTTCGATTAAATACATTCACGTATATCTATGAATGTTGAAATTAATGCAAAAGTTTAGTTCTTCATAATTTCAAATAATTTTTATATATTTTCCTAACCAACGATTGATTTAATATAAATTTTACCAATTAATTTGAAAACTGTGTTACTTGTATCTTTATAATCTAAACTTCCAACTGTATTATTTATATTTCTTTATAATTAAATATATAACTAGTATTAGAAGAAACTTTATGAGTTCATATTTTGATTAAATATTATCAAGGGAGAGTGAAAATAATTATAAAACGTCATAATTCAGTTTGGAGTGACAAATAACAATATGTCAGGTATGATTTTCCTAAGTTTCAATTTCAACTGAAAAATTATTCAATTAGAATTAATTAATAAATATTTGAATAGGATGACAATTTAGTCAAAATTTTGTCCAATGTACAAAATTTTGGACGAAAAAGATTCATTGCTCAAATTTTTCATTATTTCCATTTACGTTATTTATAATAAATAATCTTTATAAACTAATATATTTAAAAAATAATTTGATATAAAAAGGAAGCAGAAACTAAGAATTGAAATACAATAGAAAACGTATAATTATTTAATTATGTAACAAGAAATAGTTACAAATGTACAAACTTTCTTTTCAATATCAAAATAACTATATGGGATTTATAAGATGGAATGCACTATTTATCAATTAATATCTTTTTAAAATTAATCTTATTATTATAAAGTATCTCATTATAAAATTTTACAATTGTCATTTATAGACTAATACTATAATAAAAATAGTTTCAGAAATGTTCTTAAATTTTTTTACGATTTTTATTATTAATAATAGTTCTGAAATGACACATTTTCTTTTAGGATTCACACAGCAAAAAAATTCTTGTTTTTAAAAGAATTTATTAATTTGGTTCAACCGGTTATTAAATCATAATAATTCAATTTTAAATATTAGATTAAATAAATGATACGATCCTTTAATATTGCGTGGTACTAATTAAGTTTTTGGAACAAATTTATAAAAATTATCTTATTATGCAACGGTACCTCATTGCACATTTAAATGATATTAATTTTTCAATTCATTATCTATTTTGAAGGAGCAGAGAATAATATATTAGATGACTTTATTTAGTACGTGATTAGAAAGCAAATAATTTATCATCAAAGTTCACCAAATATACCAACAAGAATATATTGTTTTTCCGTAAGTTTAGGCTTACAAGAATTTTTTCAACGAAGTTAAGTATATTTAGGAAAAAGTCTACAAAAAATTTTTATTCAATAATGGTACCATTATTATAAAATTTATTTAAAATTTTTATAAAATAGACTTTATTTTATATAATAATTATATTTTATTATTTACATCTGTAATGGTATATATTATCATTAATGATTTTTTTGTAAAATCAAAATATAATGTAAAAATTAAATTATAATTTAATTATATGTTAAATTACGACTTTTATCTTTATAACATGAAAATTAAAACAATAATATTATAATTAAAAACTTTAATTGTTATAGATTTATTATTATTTTGTAGAAAAATAGTAAGATGTGAAATAATAGGTTACAAGTGTTGTCGATCGAATTATAGATGAATATACTGTTTGCATATAATATTTTGGTATTTTGTAAAAAACTTTAAAATTCAGTAAATAATAATATAGATAACAATAAAAATAGAATAATAGCAATAATGCATTAGTTATGTTTTATGTAATGGTTTTTCAATAGCCATAATTTACTTCGTTATTTATTATTTTACTTCACATGATTATTTGAGTCTTTTCAGAGATAGTAACAATAATATGACAGGATGAAATCATTATTAAATCATAAATTAATTTAAAGAAAAACGATTGTTCTTAAACTATTATTTCATGTTATAAAAAGAATTTCTAAGCTATTATGAAACACTTTAGAATTGAACATTTCAGTTCCAATTCCGTACAAGTTTATATATTTTCAATTTATTTATTCATATAATTATTTGGTAATTCTATTGTATGTTAATTTATTGAAACAATTATTAAGAATATATAAAACTGAAACTTACCCATTCCTTTGTTTTGAAGCATTTCAAGGAGTTTTTTAATACTTTCATCTCGGGCTTGCAAAGTCTGTTTCTGTGTTTCTATTCGCAATTCCAACTCCTATATGAGAATACAAATTTTATTTATAATTATTATATATTAATAAGATTGGAATTAAAAATTTTGAGCAAGTTTTGCTGTTTCATTATTTCTATTTATACGTTGTTGCATAAATATATTTTTATTTTAAAAACTATATAAAATGTTTAATTTAAAAATTAACAAACTTTTGAACTTTATTACAAAATTTTGTACACAATTATACTTACAACACTTAATATGCATATACATAATAAATTATTTTGGAGTGTTATATACAATATATCAATATTAAAAATGTAGAACATGAAAAAATTCAATAACAAAGTTACAGCTCTTTATGTTTTTTACTGATATAGAATATAATAGAAATATAGGAAGCGTGAATAAAAAATCGAATGAAACAATTATCTATTTTTACTGATATACTTTTTATAAATAGTTTATTACATTTGACTTCCAAATATTGAAAATCTTTATGACATAATTATGCATAACATTGTTTTAAAAATAAAATTTTTCTGAAAAATAATTTTAACATAATAGGTTTTTGCAACAATGACAATTAATACCTTCAATCAATATGCAGAAAAATATTTTAATTGTTTATGAAAAACATGTAAACATATTTTGAAAACTTTTAAATTAAATGTAAGTTCATGAAATGTATGGTAATTATGCATAACGTAATGGAATTATTATTTCATTATTTTAAATATTTATGAATTAATAATATATTTATAAATATCGTTCGTGTGTATCGTTAATAAGAACAATTAAGATAACATAATTAAATCCAAAAGAGCTGTATATATTTTTATTATATGTCATAGAGTATTTTTACTCTAACAATATTTAAAACAATATTATTGAAAAATATTTACTGTACGATCTATATGTATTATGCATCATGTAACATATAATGAATGTGAATTCTTGCACATTTATTCTTTATTATTTATTATTAATGTACAATTAATGTAATGACAATTAATAACATGGAATGAAAATAATATAAGAAAACATTCAACTAATAAGAAAATATGTACGTACAAAGTGTTTTTAAAGGAGATTTAACTATTTTAAATATTATTAAAGAAATCCAGCCCACACATTTAGTAACTATTGATTGAAATTTTTCTTAAAATATAATTTCATGGAGACAAAATTGAAATTTCCATATTTTTATGAACTTTAATTAAATAAAATAATTATTTAATTTATAAAATATCCTTCATATATAACTAAATAATTTATATATAAAATTAAAATTGATATGTATCATTAGCAAGAATATAAAATACCTTCCACTTAATAAATATATTAGCTGGTATATACTAAATTATAAAAAACTTATAACTGATCGGTAATTATTTGTATAATTTTTTTTTTTTTTACAAAATTTTCAAAGTCATTTTAAATACTTCTAACTTTTCCATAAAATCTTATTGTAGATAAACAGAATTTTATTGTGCAGTCATTAACTTGTAAAATATGAAAATTGTTAATAATGAATTCATATGGTTTCCATAATGTCTCATTAAATTTATTAATGACATTCTGGAAAATTTAGAGCGCTACATATTGTTACGGAAAGCTCATGTTTTCTTTCAGGCCCTCCTTTTAGTAATATAAAAAATATATATTTGTAAACATACTTACGTATTATTCAATTAAACACTACATATACAGAAACATTAAAATAAATAAAAATAAAAATGATTTTTGACTTTTATTAAAATTTGTCTTATTTATTTCCAAACTATCTTTATGGATATTTTAGGATGACGGATTTTATAAATTTAATTAACATAGAAGTTTTATGTATTTTCACAATGTTTTGCATAAAAGCAATAACCGTAGCGAAAAAGCAGTGATTATTTAGTTAATTATTTAGCTTGTTTAATTAATAGAGATTAATGAAAGTATTAATATGGATTTATAATGTGAAAATTTTATTTTTATGATAAATATTTATGATCGCCTATGATATTATTAATAGCTTATAATATTGGAAATAGTAAAATATTGCTGACTAGGATATTAGGACATATAAATTGAAAAACGTTAACACCTGAATATTTTTCAATATTGAATTTGCATTACTGATATTACTTTAAATTGATATATTATATACTATATATAATTAAAATACCATTAAAATTTATTTCGAATAATAGTACAGTATTATGTTTTATTAACAATAGTATTATTGTTATAATGTTCTAAATCTCTATTAAATACAACGAAGCTATAAAAATTTTACTAACTAGAAATATTACTAATTATGTTGCTTATTTATATCCCTCAAAACATAATAAACAAAAAAATCATGACGGCGAAAGGGATATTATGTGATACAACAACGCATAATTAAGTATGTAGGCTTACATAATTATTATAAGTTTATTTTAAAGAATTCTGAAATTTTGAAAGATAAGAATTTGGTAAATTATAAAAAGAACAAAATTTCTATTGCGTGATTAAAAAATAATTTCAAGAGCATTTCTTATTATTCCATTAATTAACCTATATAACGATTTATATTTCCCACAATTCTTAATTTGATTAAAGTGGAGTAAAATAATTGAATTAAAATTATCACTCTTATTATCTAACACGAGTGAGTAATGATATTACAATCATTAATAATCGTATATAATATTCTTTAATTTTTATAATTGTTTGCATCATGACAATTAAACTATTACTGTTTATGTATACATAAATTAATAATAATTAATTGATTAAAAAACTGTATACTACAAATAAAATATTATGCAAGTAAATCGGTAGCCGTCAAAGAAGGAAATGAAGTATCATATTACCTCTGCAGTAGCCAAGGTCACATTAGAAAATTCAAAAAGATCATTCATTTGTAAATCATAAATTAAAAAATGTTGAGTTATCAATGAGGAATAGATGGCATTGGTAACAGAGTACCTAAAATAATACGATAATATTTAATAATCAAGAAGGAAACAGATAAATAAAATAAGAACTAGAGGAATACGAGCGGCAGAAAATGACAAAATAATACCGAAGCTGTAAAGAAGCATGTTTTTCCAAAGGAGTCGTTAACATTTTTTTTTCTCTAACTATATTGACATATATTTGACAGAATGCAGTAAAAGAAAAGGTACAATACAGAACTTTCAGAATATACAAGAATAGCTGAAATTAGATAGAAGAAGATTATGAGAATATCCATAGTATAGAAGTGAAATGAATTATGAAAAACTGTGTAAAGAAGAATTGAGATAATTATGAAAAATGTCTCATATCTTAATGGATACGGTAGTAAAGCTTCTGACGCAGTAGAGAAACATAAAAGGTCCAAAGGACTCTGTTGATAATATAAAAGTTGAATATTTCTCAAGATTATTTGGTGAAGTTATTTAAGTAATAATTAGTATATTACTAATAATTTCGTAGAGCAAAATATACTCAAAATACTTTCAGTAGGTTCAGTAGTATATATATATATATATATATATATATATATGTATATTAAAATTTATATTAAGGATGATTTTGAAGGTTATATATTAAAATTTATATTAAGGATGATGGAGGTAGAGTAACTGAGCATCCAAAATAATAAATTAATAAACTACTACACGTACAAAAAATTGTAGAATCATTCCGTTTTGTAAAATAAATACATATATGTACAAATAGTAAGAATTACGCAAGTCCTCAAGTTGATTAGATATTTAATGTTCATTTCATATTAAATGATACGTCCTGAGAGCCACAATAGTCATAAAGGAAGATGAACATTTTATATATTAATGGAATATATTTTAGGAAACAGGAGACGCTTAAATATACTAATATGAGATATCAGATAGCGTTCAAATAATTAGGAAGAATCTAGAAAATGAAACAATCTTTAAGAATAATTTATTATAAAATAAGATCAAACGTGTATATCAAAACAATTACATTATGAATAAATAATTTAATATTTTTTTAATAAACGTAAAGTATATTAATTTAAAAGGAATATAATGTTATGTAAAAATAATTAAATATTAAAAATTAGTTAAATTTTCTACAATAAGCTATAGATAGTTGAAAGAAAAAACATCTAAAAAACATTTATATATTGTTATACCGTAGAAATTAATTTATTTTTTAAATTTTTAACGTTAGCTTTTGTTATTTTATATACAAATGAAAGAATAAAATACAATATATAGTTGAAGTGCGACAATATTTGAAGCTGAGAAAGAGAACTAAGTTGTTTATAAGATAACAGAGATGTTAGCAATGATAACAAAGAATAAATTAATACGGGTCAGGTCACTTGCATTAGTTCGTGAACGAATATTCATTCATTTAATGATAGAAATAAGATAAAATATTGATAATTGACTATCGATCATAGATTGAATATCTTCAAATAGTAGTCAAAAGAAAGACGGAAGAATACACAACTTGATGAAAAAATTTTTATAACTGAAGTATTTTCAGCGAAAGAAATAAAATTACGCGATAAATAAGGTAATTTTATGAGAGTCAAGACAAAACAAAAAACTCGAAAAGAATATTAAAATACACGAGAAAAATAATATCAAGTGTTATAAAATTATAATTTAAGCATACTAAGAATTATTACAGGATGAATTTTATAGAATTAATTACAACAATAATTTATATTTTAAAGTAACTTTCTATTTACTTAGAGTAACTAAACTAATATTCAATAATATTAATTACATGTAAGATTCTGAAGAATGGACGGTAGATATTGTAATTATTGTAAAATAGCAAAGTAGATACGGCTAAGGTAAGGTTTTATAGTACTTAAGAGTTGAATTTATCGACAAGATCAAGTGTCGGTATAAGTGAATAACGAATAAATAGACTAAGTCATGCTAATTAAACATCTATGTAATTAAAATTTAATAAACATCTAATTCATATGAATAAGAAGTCTCGATATTGTTAACGTATTGTTGATATATAATTTTAGCATCGAGGCCTTTTGATTAATAATAAACTAATTTACGTAT